TCCTTAGTGGAGAAGACATAATTGTTCCAGAATACTTGAAATGTAAATGTTTTCCTGTTAATTGTAGGGGAACAATACTTCATCCATGTGGATTCTACAACAGTAAATATCAAGTGTAGGCTTTAAGCATCTTGTATGCTCAACAGATTTGAAAGCCATTAAGCGTAGGAACAAGAATAAAATGGAGACAGAAGGCAAAAAATGCTGAAGGGAAAATCCTACTGAAAGCTCACAAAGCATTTTCAAGCTTACAGAAATGACCTGCTCTGTTCCTGTTACACAGAAGTGTTAAAATGAGAGCAGGCGACCCCTCTCCCCCAAATCATTCATCTGTTATGTCTGCGATGTATTTAGACTGAATCCTTTCCCAGATGCTGCGGATCTGTCGGTTCCAGGGGAAATTAATGGGATTTTACCATTTGCTTTGAGGAAAAGAGGACTGGACTTTCTCCTGCTGTCTTTGGCAGGAAGAAATGAGAAGCTTTTCTGTCTGCTCTTTTTAAATATTGCGTCTTTTTAAGCTTTTTTTTGCCAGATAGCCTAATTTCTGTTACTGCAATACACCATGTTGGAAGATTACAGAGGTTAATGTACAGCACTGTGATACACAACCATAATGGTAGACTCTAATGTTTTTTAAATGGTAAACCAAAGGCATTCGTAATACGAGTTGTAGTGAATTGCTTGCAGTTCTTGCCAGAGATTAGTTTAGCGGTGCTTTTAATATTTTATGCACTGAAGTTGTTTGCAAAGACTAAAAGCTTCACTTGCTTTGCACACTCATGCTTTGTTCTGTTGCTGTACAAAGCACAACAGAACCACTCTCTTACTGATGAATTGCATGTCAAGAAGTTTTATCAAATTACAGTTATACTGCCTTGGAAAGATTTTTCTAGTAATCAGTGAAAATTAAATCAGATTTATGGTGTCATAACTGGGCCAGGTAGTTAGAAATCTAACCTTTTGTAATATCACAGGTTGCATATTAATGTTTTAAATACCTAAAACACATATGAATGACGTAGGAGATTTTTACTTTAAATGTTACTGTAGAGATTTGACGGTACATAATCCCATTAAAACAGGAGAGTACAAGATAAAACGATCCATTTGCAATTATAATTAAGCATATTGAGATTGACCATTCTTTAAAAAATTGGAAGTGCAAGGTTGAGAAGGGTGCTTGAGCAATCACTCTTTGTTGAAAGCATTGATGGAAGAATAAAAAAATTGAAGGGGATTGATTTGTCAGTAATCTGCATGGAAAAGTATGGGAAGCATTTCTCCAGAAGGTGAAGGGAAAGTAACTCTTTCGCTGTCATGGTTAGCTCTGCTTGGAGAGTCACCACAAGAAGATATGATAAAAAATGGAACAGCAAGTAACACTGAACTATTTCACCTGCTCTTGACACTTGGTAAATAAAATGTATTAGTTGAACAATTTAGGATTGGAGAGTCAGCACAGTGCTGACTAGACTCAGTGCTCTAGAGAAGTATGGTTTTCTTCTAGCTCTGTCAGAGGCCTGCTGTTTGACCTTGAGCAACAATTTTTTGTCTCTGTGTCTTTCTTTCTGCTATTCCTTGATTTCCTTGTCTTTTTGGAGGATGAGCTCTTCAGGAGAGAGATTTCTTTGCATTGTGTTCTGTGAACAATGAAGTCTGAGCCTTGCTGAAGCCTCTAGGGGCATCTCTAACAGAAATTATAATTGTTAGCTTTAATCACTTTCATCAAAAGAGCTTGGTAATGGAGGATGGCAGTGTGGAGGATTTGGAAAAATCTGTAGGGTGCATGTTAATTAAGTCACTGTAGGTGAAAGTTGCTGATTTGGTTTCATCAGGCTGATGCAGAGACAGTAATGTCCGGGAGCAATGCAGTGCTGCTCCACCTGGGTTTTCACAAAAGCACCAGGCTGGGTGCTCACTCCTCTGCTTCAATAGAGTCAGAACGGAGGTGCTTGGTACATTTTAACAAACAAGGCTTTTTCAGAAGGTTGCCTAAAACTTTGTATGCTTTTTTTGTGGGTCCCTTTGTTGTGAGCATTTACAACTGAAATTGTATTGCTTGGCTTTTTGTAGTGAAGACAGCTGCTTGAGGGTGAGCCATCCCATCGTGATGGATTCTCCTCCCAGCCTTTACTGTTGCCAAACAGAATGTGTTTATTGTTACTCTCCTTATTAGTAGCTTCTGGTTTGGGATGAAGGTGCAGCAGCATGCCAGTTTGCAGATTAATTGCCCTTCTTGTGGCATCTAATGATGCAGAACAATATGCCCTTGTCCTACTTGGGTGGATATATTAGTCACCATAGCAGAGGATTTAGAAGTATTTAGCCACATGAACACCAGAAGACATTTTAGTAAGGGTGGGCTATGTTGAAGTATCTGCATTATTCACTGAGGAGTAATCTTGGCAGGTAGAGCCAGGGTCATATAGGATGAAGCAAGGGAGAGAAGGCACTTACCAAATTGTCCAGGCAGAGTACGGCCCGGGAAGAACTTGGGAAGAAAGAAATACTTCTGAGAAGTACTGTAGATTTGAAGGGGGGGCAAGTTAGTTGAGTGGTGTGGAAAGTAGTAAAAGAAAATAAAAACAAGATTCCCTTGCTCATGGGGCAGGTGTTGTACTGCTGTATTAGCAGGAGTCAATGGTAAAACAATGTATCTTTCTTTAGTGTATTTATTCTCCCTTATAGGGCTAACACCAAATCCCAGTAGTTCCTGCAGTGCACCCACTGGCAGTGAGCAATGACTCTCTAGCAAGTATTTTGCAAGATCTTTGCTCTGCAGGAATGCCTGTGTAGTTCCCTTCTTATTTTAATAAGAACAAGAATTCCCCAATCTGCGTTTGAAATCTGCATAGAAATAGCATATGGCAGAGGCCAACTCAAGGTTATACATTTGGCATTTGGGAAGGGAAGGCAAGAAAAATTTACCAGTCAGTACACTCACATTATGATAAAATAAAGGTGAGCTGGGAGGAGAGCATGTGCTGAATCCTAAAATGACACAGAAGAGCCATAAACCACTGTGTGTTGTGCTATCTCTAGCCCTTTATGCTCCAAGCAGAAGTTAAATGTAAGGTATCATAAATGAAACAAAGATCTTGTTTTAATTTCATTTAGAAAACCATTGTAAGGTAATGAGGTAACAAACATTACTTCTTCAAAGTAGGCAAACTACAATTTCTCTGCTCTGTACTGCTCTGATCATATTTTTGGGAATTATTCTCCAAAAGCTTCTTGGAACCAAGTGAAGATTTTGCTATAAAACACAAGTAGCGTAGTCTAAACAAGTGGCATTTTTCCTAGAAATAAAGTATATGGGTGCCCTTATGAGGTGTTGCCTGGTCTGCACTACACTTGTAAAAGTGTTTTTTCTTACTGAAACTGTGTATATGTGATCAAAATCCAAGGCTGAAAATGGGTATGGTCTCTACATATAGAGACTTTTTCATTTGTACGGGGAGAAGTAATAGCTGGTCTTACCCTGAGTTTGCCTGTAAATTTCTTAGGTGATCCAAAACCTGTTTATTGCTTACAGAGGCAATTTTGCTGACAGGCAACCTGGAATAGGCTCCTTTTTCCTCCAGAGCATCCATACTTTCCTATTACAGAGAAATCACTCAAAAAGCAGCATGCATGCTGGACTCTCAAGCCTTGTTTTAAGTTTTAATTTACTCGTCTGACTTCCAAGGTTACTGAATGCAAGCAATTGCTTCTTCAGTATGTAAATAATACGAATTATGTGTTAGGGACCAATGCCTCAACATCCTTCTTCTCATACTCTCAGGGCACCTGTCAAGGAGGGCTTAGAGTTGGGGTGCAGCTTCCCTTTTTTGCCATTGAAGATTAAAGTAAAACCATTCTGGATTAGCTAAGATGTGAAACTGGACCCCTAGGACCATTTCTTTGTCTGCAACTTTTTTAAGGTGTAGGATGGTCCAGTGTGTGAGACCATGGCAGCAGGGTGAAAACTGTGCCACAACCCTAGCTGGGAAAAGCTTGGGGACCCACTGCTGCAACTGAAATAACTGGCCCCAGTTTAACACTGCATCCAATTTCAGTCAGTCTTTAAAGTTTTTTTTCATTTTAATACACTACTTACAAGTTAAATGACCTGTGTTCTCCCCCACAGGTTGCAGATAATGAGCTGGGCTTATAGTTAATTTAGGAAGTAACGTTTTAGACAGGAGGAGCCATTGCTGTTTTCCTTGCATGGGTTTTTAATTTTGTTTTCTAAATGTTTCATTGGGATGGGATGAAGTCCTGGAGTCCTATACCACCCAGCCTGACTCTGACAAGGCTGATTCTCACTGAAGTTTCATCTGTAGCAATCTCAACTGTGAGGAGCAATTTTTCATATGTAATTAATCCTAATAAAACCAACATTTCCAGGAGGCTCACCTGGATCCATCCATTTCATGGTTTTGTCAATTAATGTTACATTTAGCATTTAACACTATCATTAGAAGAAAATACTGAAGATGTAAAGGGACAGAGGAATTTTAAGGTGTAAACTGCTGAGGAAGAGGAATTATTATCCTTGCAATCATAATTTCTTTTACCTTCTTTTCAAACTAGATGTTTCTTTATTATTCTGGTGCAGCAACTTCTAAAAATCTCTGATAAATCCTCTAGTGTACAATAGTTTATCCAGAAGACATTGGAGTCTGTTATGGTGGAGATACTCATGTACTTGCATGTGTGCTTGATAACTAGTTGTATCCTTAGGGTTTTTATTATTGGTAGTGATACTGACCACTGATTTTTCATCCAGCCATTGTTGGTTATGTCTTAGTACTGTCTTCCCACACAGAAATATGTTTCATAGAGATTAAAAGTTCTTACAGACTTCTCAAAATCAGATCTGTTGACCAAAGCCAGTTGTTCATCGCTGAATCCTCTGGTGAATGTAGAGCAGAAAGTTCATGAGTGCCTAATAAGTCCTCAGAGGTAAACATAAACATTTTAAAATTTGTCTCTCTTTCTCTTTTTTTTTCCAGAAATGTTGAATACAGTACTCAGCAAAAAATAGCGTGTGGATTTCTAGCACCTGAAGAACAAGAAAAGGTAATTGCCGGACCATATAGTCTAGCCTCATTTCCTCATTTGTTTGTTGTGCTAAAATATTTAGACCTGATCACGTTCCATGAGCCTACAGCACTGTCTCTGCATATGGGTTTTGTGTATTTTCAGTTGTGCAGGTGCAGTTGTTTTTGAGAATATTCCTTTATGTAAAGGGAACAGGGGAACAAAAGCAGCAGAGCATGAAACTGCTGAAGCAAATGTTAGGGAAGAGCACTCTGTGGGTTTTTTTGGTGCGTGTAGAAGTGAAAAGGGTAAAAGAGGGAAAAAAAAATATCATGGTTTATATGTGCCAGTGGAAAAAGGGCTGTGGACTTCTGAGTATTTTTTGCAAGGCTGCCTAGTGCAGCCTTGCAGCGTGCTGGGCAAGTGTCGAAGGAGGCTCGGTGTTCATCAGTGTTACAGCAGCCTCCTCGTGTTTCAGTGACCGAGTAACTTGTGGGGTGGTGCACCCTGCTCCAGAGGTTGTGAGCTCCTGTGCTGCCTGCAAGCCTGCCTCTTGCAATTGAGTTTCTTGATCCTCTTGGGTTGTGACATTTTGTTTGGGCAACGCAGCTCAACAGGGTCGTGGCTCAGTTGCTGGTGTTAAACAAAATGCTGTTCATCAAACTTTCATGAGACACTTTGCCAGGGGCTGCGTCTTGAAAGACTAGGCTCCAAAAAGCAATGAGGAAAGCTGTGCTGCTCCATACTGCTGCCATCTCCTGTACCACCTTCTGCCTTCTTTCCAAGGCTGAAGGGGGGACGCCCCTATAGGACCCTGGGTGGTTTTGCACTTTGCTCTTTGCTAGAGAAAAGCGATGTAAAAGCTGGACAAGGAGGGCAAGGCCATGTTGAGTTGCGGCACTCTTGCTTCAGCTGGTGCATCCTTTCATCTGTATGGTGATACAGAAGAGGAATCAGGGACCCACCTCTGCTTTAAAGCCTGTGTAGGACTTCACTGTTACTGTGGTTAAGCTAGAGGAGTTTACATGAGCTGAGCCTTTCAGTAAATTTTTGTATTAATTAATGTAATAACTTCAGAGTGAGAAGAGATGTATGTACATACCACAGTATGAAGAGCAAAAGATTATATATAATGTGAAGGTCTGTACATTTGAGTATAGGAAAGCAAACATAGTGAAATTTAAAAACATGGATGGGAAGAGGGAGAGAGATAGCAAATGTTGCCAGGGCCAGGAAAGTTTCTGTAAGAACACATGACATATCTTTACGAAGAGCTTCATTTCACTGCTTGGGTTTGAAAAATGCATGTGAGTGACATCTTGTGTTCACTACATCTGCAGTGCCATTCTGCCGATAATTAGCACGTGCGTTTTAGAGGCAGTATGAAGCCAAGATGACAAATGCAAACCAATCACAGGGTGGAACAGTTCTGCCTTCTTCATGTATGAGCATTACAATTTGCTGAAAGTCCATCTTCCCGCCCTGCAAATGGAAGTGTCATCTCAAGAAGCCTGTTGGAAAGCACTGAAAGGGCCTAATCTTGCAACTTGTGTGGAACCTTCTGTATTTCTTTTCATGGTGTTCTCTGCATGCATCAGTTTAATGCAAAATTACGACAGGAGAGGAAATATAGCAGACAGAGGAAAAAGCTCTTGGTGCAAATAAAGGCATCGTCAAAGTGCATTAAACTTTTAGATAACCACATTCTGTAGTTTCGGCTCACAGTGTTGTGAACTACCTTTCATGTGTTAACAAATGGGATTCATTTTGTTGGATACTTCCATTTGGATTTACAGTGCCATTTAAAACTCTGTAAAGCTTTCTGTCACGATCACCAGCTGTGGTGATTGCCATCACTGCTGTGGGCCTGTCATGTTTGGGCACTTACCATGTACGGGAATAACTTCAGTGGGGAGTCAGACAGTTCGAGTGCTCTGAGTATGTCAGCTCATCCTTGTCAAAAGTGAAGACTGGAAAATCAGATTTCTTTAAAATAATGAATTTCCCAAGAGGGATATTGGAAAGGTGGTGGTTTATACCTTTCTCTCTCTCAGGATCTTACAGGTAACAGTATGACATAATGTGGTGGCAGAGAGGAAGACTGTGACACACTGTTAAGTTTCACTGGTATTTCACTGCTCTTTTATAAGAAGGTGAAATATTAGTCTAAATTATCTGTGCAATTTAAAATTATCTTTACAAATTCAGTAATCTCTGTTTATTTATGTTTTTGGTACTGTTGTAAAGAGATTTTAAAAAACCCAGTATTTCTTTTTGCAAGGTTAAAAGCATCCCCAGATTCATCATGGCTAAGTGCTTTACAAGGCCTTGAAGCATAACTACCTATGCTTTTTCAGTGTGGCTCAAACACGAGAATTATTCCCTCTGGGTCTCTTAATAGCTATAGATATTTTTTTAAAGTTTAAACATAAGCAATACTGTAAGCAGATAAAGGTATATATGTAGCAAAAACATGGCCACTCATGTTGTTGTAATCGATCTCTGAGGTCAGGTTGCACACAAATTGGTTTTTTTTAATCCCATGAAGGGGATCCCACAGAGTCATTTCACTCTGTCAGCTGTACGAGCAGAACAACCATGAGCTCTTTCACTGCTCCAGCTGCAGCGCCATCCTTTTGTTTGGTGCTGCATAGGACTGGGTTGCAATGGCCGGGCTAGGGATGTGTCAGATGTTTTTCACTCTGTTGAAGAGACTGTAGCTGCTCTGCTCATGAGTCAGCCCCTAGGAGAGGCTTTGCCCCAACTTATGGGAGCAGTGACCTTGATGGGGGTGTTCACTCCCATGCAGTGGGGGCTTTTTGCAGATTGAGTGGGTTTCATGCTGTGCTGATTTTGATATCAGTGAGCAGGGTCCAGTGCTTCAGAAATTGAGACTGTGCTTTTATTCCCTGCGTGGTCAGACTGAAGGAAGAGATCCCAAGGCTCAAGGGCATGAGAAGCACTCTCTTCTTTTGTTCTCAGTGTCTTTTTTTTTTTTTTTTTTTTTTTTTAACTGGCTGGCCATGACATTAAGATTTCTAATTAATTTAGAAACCACAGGCAGTTGAAGAGAGTGAGCAATGTAATAACTGGGCCATGGGGCAGAGTAAAAGCACATCAATTATTCAGGCAGTTGCTGCTGCTTATTCCCTTCCCGGAGCTGGGCTGGCTGTCAGTGTGTGTCAGTGATGCCGCTAATGCCCTTCAGAATTTACATGCATAAATAGTGGCCTTTTAAAATCTGCATGAGGATAACTTTAGTGTTTCTGATGATACCTGCTAGCAGCATGCTCTGCCTCACAAGCACTGGGGGCTTCAACCAGTATTTTGGGTGCCTAGTTCAAAACTGGGATCCTGTCAGGCACATCTACCAGAAGCCTCTGCTTTGCAGAAGTTTTTCCTCAAAGACATTGAGGGGTGGACTGAGCCATGGGAAGAAAGAAACAGTCCTGCTTTAAAATTCGGATGGTTTCTGAAAAGATTTCACTTCTCTAGGCAAGTGAAGTTCAGATGAATGCATCGTCCCCTCCTCCTATTTCTGTGACACACTGCAAGGATACTATGGATGCCACTGGGGCTGGACCCACTACAGTTGCTCTACAGGGATGAGGGGCAGGAAGCATCCTCCTCCTCCTCACTGCTCTGGCTCTTGCATGTCCTGCACTTTGATTTAGCAGTTGGAAAGTTTTAAATTGAGGAAGTTTTTCTCACTGCCAAGGACTAGATTCACGGAACTGCCGTGATTACCTTACACGGGTGCACTGCAGGGTCTCATGTTTGGCATGGCACAGGAAGCAACACTAATTTCTGCATTGAACCAGCAAGGGGACTGAAAACTGGGGGATCTGTTGGATTTTTCTGCCATGGACTACAAGCAGATGACAGAGCCTTATATTTCTCTCTAGTCGGCATAGTTATCCCTACTGCTGGAGGCAGCTACTTTGCTTTTTACAAAGTGAACTAATCTGTGAAGGCAACAAAATAAAATGAGCCTTGCTAATTATGTGTTGTGCCGGCAAAATGACCAGCTTGGGTTTGGAAAATGCTGGCTGTAATTAATGGTGAAAGGCTTTTTCTCTCATCTGTGTAGTCATTATGAATCACTTCTCCCCACGGAAACTTTTAAATCTGTCTCAGTGGGGAGCCAGTGAAGGAACAGGTAAAATGGATTTGCTTTAATAGCTGCAGTTGTAACTTAAACACTTGAAATGATATTAAGCATCTTTCTCCATTAGCATTTCATGTTGATCCTGATGATATACCAGCAGAGGCTAAGACAGGATCAACGTTCATTAAATGGAAGAAACTAAACTCTGTAGACAAATGCTTTGGCTAAATGGGGCCTTCATTGTACTGAGAACAAGAATGCAATTAGCTGAAATGTTTGTTTACAAAATCTAATTCCTGGGGAGTATCTTCTCAGATTGCCGCTTACATCTCTTGGGCTGGTTTTGTTGCCAAGGCTTGCAGGTTGACGGATTTTGCAAAGCTTGATTGGAGCACAGATATAACAGATGGGTCAAACTTTGCGTGGTAAAACTGAACCCAAGTGAAGAGCTGGAGCTAAGCTGCAGGTGTGCCAGAGTTTATTTGTGCATTCCTCACATCTATTTTACAGTTTTCAGTTAAATGCAATTAGTAACAATTATTAGATGTTCCAGATACTAAACAGTGTAGGCTGAAGAGAAGCTGGAAATTGTGCAGCGCTGAGTGCTGTTATGGCTGTCCTTGTGTCCCCCACCTGGAGCCTAGACCAGGGCAATCACAAATGGGTTCCAACTGAGTGAGGATGCATGTCTTCCAGGGAACCTGCATGAAGAGCCTTGTTGTCCTGGTTGGTTGAGGAACATGGACACCCTCAGAAGGTGATTTTGCCCATCCACAGTGTGAGTTGTGGTCTGGAAATGCTGCTTCTCTTCAGGTTACAGAAACAGCCAATGGGAGACATAACTGCTGCCATCCAGATATTGGAGCCAATTTTGTCACTGCATAGGATTTGTGGAGTGTGAAGGATCAGGCATTTCGAGCCTGTGTTGGCA